GACCTAACATTCAGTATAATAGACCTACCATACAGTATAATAGAGCTAACATACAGTATAATAGTCCTAACATACAGTATAATAATCCTAACATACAGTATCATAGACCTAACATACGGTATAATAGACCTAAAATACAGTATAATAGACCTAACATCCACTATTATAGACCTAACACACAGCACGATAGACCTAACATCCAGTATAATAGCCCTAACATACAGTATGATAGACCTAACATTCAGTATAATAGACCTATCATACAGTATTATATACCTAACATACAGTAAAATAGACCTAACATACCGTATAATAGACCTAACATACAGTATAATAGACCTAACATACAGTATTATATACCTAACATACAGTTTAACGAACTGATGAATTCCAAACATGCACAAACCTTGAAAAAAGTGTGTACATTTATAAGAATAATCCTTAATAATATTTGTCCTCCTCAGTATTAATTATTTCAATAATATTGATTAGATTGTGCTTGTGTGACTTACCTAATGAACAACTGTATTGTAAATTATCCTGTAAATACATACGTTTCTCTATGCTTTGTATCGTAGAGAATAAGTTTGATTTGTTTTTAAGTCCTAAAAAATTTGGTTAGGTAAGGGTAGGTAAACAAAACTTCGATTTTTCACAAGAGTTATATAAAAACTGTTTCAAACTTTAACAATGCTTTTTCAAAAAAAAAAAATCCCCCAACCCCTACCCCAAAAACAAACTGGTTCATAGGGAAAGTGTTAACCAAACCTTATTGTTTGCCTCAGTTTTGCATTGTCAGGAAAATGTGTGTTGTAATACTAGTGACTGTTTTCATTATATTGTATGAAATAATCTTTTGAAGTGCATTGCGGGATGACGCAAAGGTTTACAGAGTGGCATTACATGATGTATAGACATGTACATATATTATGACAGCATTGATGAGCCGTAACTATATATATATCATTGTGTTGATTTTCAATACTTAAATAGCCCAGGGTATTTATTAGTCATCAATATTTATAGACAATGTGGGAGGGAGGAATTCTACTGCACACTTGGCTATTAGCCCATTAAAATTAGTGAAGATTTGGCTCAGATAGAACTGGGGACAATACACATGTAGAAATGTTAATGGAACATTAGATACATGTACATATGTAATGAACACTAAATATGCCGGGTTTTGTTTCCATTATGTAAATTGTTGTTAGTTTCCATCATAGCAACACTGAACCATTGAGACAGACATCAAACATTCTCTATGAAAAGGTATACAAAATGTACAGGAGAATGTCAGATATAATAAATCTAGTTACCTGAGGAAATACCTTTATACATGTAAATGTACTTCATTATGTTTGTAATTATACCATGTAGGCGATCTTGATGTCGTGAGACAAATATTTACATTAATGCCTCGCAACGAGGTCATGTATTAAATATATGATGTAATGTCCTTCTCTGAAGTGAGTGAGTTAAAGTGTCGTCAACACTTGTTTCGCGATTTCACTTCCTGATATGTTTTTGAACAAACTCTTCAAACAAGTTTGTGTTTCAGAGTGCCAAATTAACATGAAGGTGAATGTTACGGTAACTATTTATAGAACATCTTTGTTATCACTGTATCAGTATCATTTCTCATTGGATTTTGATCAAAATTCATACAATGCAATAATGAAGTACAATGTAAAAGAAAAACCCTAAATAAGTTACAGATTTGATAATATGTTCTCGGTCCGACTCTCAATTGTACTCACCTGGGGATATGTTCTGGTCCGACTCTCAATTGTACACACCTGGGGATATGTTCTCGGTCCGACTCTCAATTGTACACACCTTGGGATATGTTCTCGGTCCAACTCTCAATTGTACACACCTGGGGATTTGTTCTCGGTCTGACTCTCAATTGTACACACCTGGCGATATGTTCTCTGTCCAACTCTCAATTGTACACACCTAGGGGTATGTTCTCGGTCCGACTCAATTGTACACGCCTGGGGATTTTTTCTCAGTCCGACTCTCAATTGTACACACCTTGGGATTTGTTCTCGGTCCGACTCTCAATTGTAGACACCTAGGGATATGTTCTCGGTCAGACTCTCAATTGTACACACCTTGGATATATTCTCGGTCCGACTCTCAATTGTACACACCTAGGGATTTGTTCTCGGTCTGACTCTCAATTGTTCACACCTGGCGATATGTTCTCTGTCCAACTCTCAATTGTACACACCTAGGGGTATGTTCTCGGTCCGACTCAATTGTACACACATGGGGATTTGTTCTCAGTCCGACTCTCAATTGTACACACCTTGGGATATGTTCTCGGTCCGACTCTCAATTGTTCTCACCTTGGGATTTGTTCTCGGTCCGACTCTCAATTGTAGACACCTAGGGATATGTTCTCGGTCAGACTCTCAATTGTACACACCTTGGATATATTCTCGGTCCGACTCTCAATTGTACACACCTTGGAATATGTTCTCGGTCCGACTCTCAATTGTACTCACCTAGGGATTTGTTCTCGGTCAGACTCTCAATTGTACACACCTGGGGATATGTTCTCGGTCCGACTCTCAATTGTACTCACCTTGGGATTTGTTCTCGGTCCGACTCTCAATTGTACTCACCTGGGGATATGTTCTCGGTCCGACTCTCAATTGTACACACCTAGGGATTTGTTCTCGGTCTGACTCTCAATTGTACACACTTAGGGATATCTTCTCGGTCAGACTCTCAATTGTACACACCTTGGATATATTCTCGGTCCGACTCTCAATTGTACACACCTGGGGATTTGTTCTCGGTCCGACTCTCAATTGTACACACCTTGGGATTTGTTCTTTGTCCGACTCTCAATTGTACACACCTGGGGATATATTCTCGGTCCGACTCTCAATTGTACACACCTAGGTATATATTCTCAGTCCGACTCACAATTGTACACACCTGGGGATCTGTTCTCGGTCAGACTCTCAATTGTACACACCTAGGGATTTGTTCTTGGTCCGACTCTCAATTGTACACACCTAGGGATATATTCTCGGTCCGACTCACAATTGTACACACCTGGGGATTTGTTCTTGGTCCGACTCTCAATTGTACACACCTAGGGATATATTCTCGGTCCGACTCACAATTGTACACACCTGGGGATTTGTTCTTGGTCCGACTCTCAATTGTACACACCTGGGGATTTGTTCTCGGTCCAACTTTCAATTGTACACACCTGGGGAACTGAAATGTTTCAAGCATATAGAATGTATATATATAAGGATTTCAGCAATACATGATATATATAGGATCTTACATGAGTTTCCATTTCATATGAGATTTATGAAACAAGTCTAAAAAAAAATCAATTTAACAAGCCTCTGGCAAGCTAAAATGAAAAATTTGTGACGAGTTTCATAAATTTCATATTAATTTAAAACGAGTGTATTAGATCCTTTTTATCACATAATCAAGATTTGTGGCATTTATTCATGTAAAACAACACTTTTCATATAACCTTGAAATGTAAAAAGCTGCCATTTAGACTCCAGTGCGTAAGTCTGTGACATCATGTACTTGTCCTAGGTGTGACAACACAACTGAAACAATTGAAACTTACAACCAATCACAGGGCTGATAGGTCATATTACATGATCATGGGTTATATTAACCCATGTAATATGACCTACCAGCAAAAAAATATGACATGGGTATATTCACTGGATAACACAGTACATCACATGATAAAAATAATTCTGCTTTCAAAACTAAAACATGGAACAAGGGAGATAACCTCTAGAAAGTGTAAAAAGTATGGTGGTTTATAGTTACAGGGTTTATAGTTACGGGGTTTATAGTGATAGGGTTTATAGTAAGAGGGTTTATAGTTACAGGGTTTATAGTAACAGGGTTTATAGTTACAGGGTTTATAGTTATGGGGTTTATAGTTACGGGGTTTATAGTTACGGGGTTTATAGTTACAGGGTTTATAGTTACAGGGTTTATAGTTATGGGGTTTATAGTTATGGGGTTTATAGATACATAGTTACGGGGTTTATAGTTACAGGGTTTTTAGTTACAGGGTTTATAGTAAGAGGGTTTATAGTTATAGGGTTTATAGTAACAGGGTTTATAGTTACAGGGTTTATAGTTACAGGGTTTATAGTTACAGGGTTTATAGTAACAGGGTTTATAGTTACAGGGTTTATAGTTACAGGGTTTATAGTTACAGGGTTTATAGTAACAGGGTTTATAGTTACAGGGTTTATAGTTACAGGGTTTATAGTTACAGGGTTTATAGTAACAGGGTTTATAGTTACAGGGTTTATAGTTACAGGGTTTATAGTTACAGGGTTTATAGTAACAGGGTTTATAGTTACAGGGTTTATAGTTACAGGGTTTATAGTAACAGGGTTTATAGTAACAGGGTTTATAGTTACAGGGTTTATAGTTACAGGGTTTATAGTAACAGGGTTTATAGTAACAGGGTTTATAGTTACAGGGTTTATAGTTACAGGGTTTATAGTAACAGGGTTTATAGTAACAGGGTTTATAGTTATGGGGTTTATAGTTACACGGTTTATAGTTACAGGGTTTATAGTTACAGGGTTTTTAGTTACAGGGTTTATAGTAACAGGGTTTATAGTTATGGGGTTTATAGTAACAGGGTTTATAGTTACAGCCAGTTTATAGTCAAGTTTTAGAGAAGTTGATCAAAGAGATTAACATTTACATTTAACATATGTGACTATCAGATTCCTTATTTAAATCCTTTTTGTTTTTATTATATAGAGATAACTTGCATTTGATTACAACCTGGTATTTGTTTAGAATGCAAGTGGTTTATGTTATTGATAGTATAATGTCCACTTTTTGCAATAGAGTTTTTCCATTTAAATTCATGGTATTTTATAGCTATCTCAGAGAGGGATGATGGCATTAAATTTTAAAAGTAATGAGTTTGGTGCTATATGATCTTAAAGTACAAATTACCTAACAGTGAAATGTTTGTTTTTCAGAGACTGCTGCTGCTGTTTGGAGGAGGCTTTGAGGATGACCTCACCGAATCCTGTCTCTGGATCATCAACCCAGGTAAGTAACCAGTAAATATATCTCTGGATCATCAACCCTGTCAGTTATACAGAAATAATACATATTTCTAATGTACTCCTATTCTGATGGTGTCAGAGTTTCTACATATGATGTCTGTTAAATTAATTCAATATTAAATCATTGATGTAATGACAACTATAACAAGATATTTTTAACACAAGTACAATTTAATGTTGACGTATACAAACTAATATCCTGGTAATATAACATTATTTTGATGATAAAGACTTGCAGCACATCCGACGTCACTGGGTAGAGGCCTACTCATCACATCCGGGGGTACGACGTCATCATACTGCCGTCCTGTACGACCATCACATGTACATCTACGGGGGGCATGTCGACCTTCAAGGCTCAAAGGCTGACCTCTGGGCCTTCCACACAGGTAAGTCAGGTTCCATGCTTTATATAACACTTTATATTCCCTTTAGTGCTTCCCCTTATAAACTATAGTACCGCTAACTAGACTTGCTTCCCTTTATAAACTATAGTACCGGTAACTAGACTTGCTTCCCTTTAAAAAACTATAGTACCGTTAACTAGACCTGCTTCCTTTTATAAACTTTAGTACCAGTAACTAGACTTGCTTCCCTTTATAAACTATAGTACCGGTAACTAGACTTGCCTCCCTTTATAAACTATAGTACTGGTAACTAGACTTGCTTCTCCCTATAAACTATAGTACCAGTAACTAGACTTGCTTCCCTTTATAAACTATAGTACCAGTAACTAGACTTGCTTCCCTTTATAAACTATAGTACTGGTAACTACACTTGCTTCCCTTTATAAACTATAGTACCTCTAACTAGACTTGCTTCCCTTTATAAACTATAGTACCAGTAACTAGACTTGCTCCCCTTTATAAACTATAGTACCAGTAACTACCCTTTCTAGACTTGCTTCTCCCTATAAATTATAGTACTGGTAACTAGACTTGCTTCCCTTTATAAACTATAGTACTGGTAACTAGACTTGCTTCTCCCTATAAACTATAGTACCGGTAACTAGACTTGCTTCCCTTTATAAACTATAGAACCAGTAACTAGACTTGCTTCCCTTTATAAACTATAGTACCAGTAACTACACTTGCTTCTCCCTATAAACCATAGTACCGCTAACTAGACTTGCCTTCCTTTATAAACTATAGTACTGGTAACTAGACTTGCTTCTCCCTATAAACTATAGTACCAGTAACTAGACTTGCTTCCCTTTATAAACTATAGTACCAGTAACTACACTTGCTTCTCCCTTTATAAACTATAGTACCTGTAACTAGACTTGCTTCCCTTTATAAACTATAGTACCGGTAACTAGACTTGCTTCCCTTTATAAACTATAGTACCGGTAACTAGACTTGCTTCTCCCTATAAACTATAGTACCAGTAACTAGACTTGCTTCCCTTTATAAACTATAGTACCAGTAACTACACTTGCTTCTCCCTTTATAAACTATAGTACCTGTAACTAGACTTGCTTCCCTTTATAAACTATAGTACCGGTAACTAGACTTGCTTCCCTTTATAAACTATAGTACCGGTAACTAGACTTGCTTCTCCCTATAAACTATAGTACCAGTAACTAGACTTGCTTCCCTTTATAAACTATAGTACCAGTAACTAGACTTGCTTCCCTTTATAAACTATAGTACCGGTAACTAGACTTGCTTCCCTTTATAAACTATAGTACCAGTAACTAGACTTGCTTCTCCCTATAAACTATAGTACCAGTAACTAGACTTGCTTCCCTTTATAAACTATAGTACCAGTAACTAGACTTGCTTCTCCCTATAAATTATAGTACCAGTAACTAGACTTGCTTCCCTTTATAAACTATAGTACCAGTAACTAGACTTGCTTCTCCCTATAAATTATAGTACCGGTAACTAGACTTGCTTCCCTTTATAAACTATAGTACCAGTAACTACCCTTTCCAAGTTGCATGTCTTCATTTCAAATGGTTTAAGTATTTCTCTTAGTTAGAAAATAAGTTTAACTAGATTAAAGAGGAAAATTTGCTCTAAATGACAAAGTTATAAATTCATTAATTATAATGAATAAATGATTTAGGATATTTCATTATGTATTAGATAAAGATTTATATAACAAAAGGGTGTGTCTTTTTTAACAGAGGATGAAGAATGGGAACAGGTGATTCCTCGTCAGCCTCCAAATATGATCCCGGAGGCTCGCCATGGTCATACAGCTGTAGTGTACGGACGAGACATGTGGGTCTTAGGAGGTCTCGCTGACCTCACTTGCCCAAAAAACAACTTCTGGAAATTCAGTTTCCGTAAGTAGACATGTATCCAGCTGGCTTCTCCATGATCAGTTTGGTGTGTGCATAGTTCAATGATTGAGATAATGTGTGTTTATATATTTAATTGTACATATAGTCAAACCTGCTCATTCAACCACCTCTGTTAAGAGGCCACCTGTGTTAAGAGATCACCTGTGTTAAGAGACCACTCCTGTTAAGAGGCCACCTTTGTTAAAAGACCACCTTTGTTAAGAGACCACCTCTGTTAAGAGGCCACCATTGTTAAGAGACCACCTTTGTTAAGAGACCACCCCTGTTAAGAGACCACCTGTGTTAAGAGACCACCTGTGATAAGAGACCACCTGTGTTTAGAGACCACCTGTGTTAAGAGACCACCACTCCTAAGAGACCAACCCTGTTAACAGACCACCCCAGTTAAGTGACCACCTCTGTTAGGAGACCATTTCCATTAAGATACCACCTCTGTTTAGACACCACCTCTGTTAAGTGATCACATCTGTTAAGAGACCATCTCCATAAAGAGACCACCTCTGTTAAGAAGTCAATTTTAGTGGTCCCCATTGTTAAGTGATATCATTGTGAACTGAACCTGTATTAAAATACCATCTGTGTTGACCACTTTTTATACACCGGTCAAATTTGACGGGAGTATTATGGTATGGCATAGTTTGTCAGTCCGTCCGGCGTAAACTTTTGTTTGTCCGGCAATCTTTTCCTACATTTTTCGACCGATCTCTTTGAAATTTCGTATACATTTAAATCATGATATGAAGTTGTGTCTCCCTTATAAGAATTTTGATTTGACTATTTTTCCAAAAGTTATTGCCCTTTGTTCATTTCAGTATTTCATTTTTGTCCGGCAATCTCCTCCTACATTTTTCAAACGGATCTCTTTGAAACTTGGTATACATTATAATCATGATGTGAAGTTGTGTCTCCCCTATACAAATTTTGATTCGACAATTTTTCCAAAGGTTATTGCCCTTTGTTCATTTCAGTATTTGATTTTTGTCCAGCAATCTTCTCCTACAGTTTTCAACGGATCTCTTTGAAACTTTGTATACATTATAATCATGATATTTTGTTGTGTTTCCTTGAAAAGAATTTTGATTCGACGATTTTTGCAAAAGTTATTGCCCTTTGTTCATTTCAGTATTTGATTTTTATATATGGAGATTTTCTCCTACATTTTTAGCTCACCTGGCACGAAGTGCCAAGTGAGCTTATGCCGTGGCGCGGCGTCCGTCGTCCGTCCGTCGTCCGGCGTCAATATTTTACTTTAAACGACTTCTTCTTAATAACCGAAAGGCCTAGGGTGTCAATATTTGGCCAGAAGCAAACTTGGATGAAGGGCTACAAAGTTTGTTCAAATAAATGACCTTCACCTATTTTCAAGGTCACAGGGGTCAAATATGTCAAAAACTTTAAACATCTTCTTCTCAATAACCAAAATGCCCAGGGAGATGATATTT